AGGGCAGGCAGGCACGACAGCAGGGGTCTGCCGGTTCAGCAAGGTGAACCCTAGCCACGGGAGCGGGATTGCCAGGCTGGCATGTAACACCCTGCACAGCCTGCGCGGCCTCCTAAAGCGAGCAGTGCCTGGAAGGGGGAAAGGCAGGAGCCTGGCTGGGAAGCCCTCGTCCTGCAGCGTGCTGGGCTCTCCTCCTGCCACGGGTCCTAGCCCGAGCTTGGGTTGCTGGGGCTGTGGAGGTGTGCGGCCGGGCTGGGGAGCTGCGGAGGAAATCCCCCCAGACTGGAGCACTTTCCCCTCCTCACCCCCTACCCTCTCGCCAGACCGCTTGCTTCTCTCTTTTTTAACCAGAGGACCCCCTTTTAAGGACGGGTTTTTATTCTGTTGCCTGTTTCTTGTGTGAATCCAGCTCTTGCTAATCCTAGATTAACCAGGGAGCGCTTCCCGCCAGCTGGTGCAGGGCCTGGTCCTGCCCCTGACCGAGGTACATTTGATTGCCATGTGCTGCTGGTGAGGAAATATCCGGGACACCAGTGCTCACTGCACCGTGATTCGTGGGTGCTAGCGGAGCGTGTAATGAAGCAGGAGCAGAGATGGAGTAGTCTCCTTTCCCCTGCGTTATGGATGTGGCAGAGGAGGCGTCTCTGGGCTCCCCATCCCTCTCTGACAGTTCCCACGCAGCGCACCAGAGTGCAGCAGGGGCTGTCTGGCAGTCCCTTGCAGCAAAGGCAGCTGCAATGCATTTGTTGTCTTAAAACAATGTTCAATGTCTACCTGCATATGGAACCAGAAGCAGTGCTTGCCTGCAGAAGGAAATCGGGGCACTTGCAAGAAAAGTGGGCTAGAGAGGAGGGGGCCCCGGGGATGACTTCACCTATACCTTCCCTAAATACCTGCTGGCCCAGAGGACCGGCTGTTTGTGACTCTGAATCTATTCCATCCACTTGCACGGGGAGGCTGGGAGGAGGCTTCCCTAAAAGGTAACAAATAAAATGAATGAAGTGAAAGAGGCATCTCTCATAGAGCACTTGGGCATCATAATTATGTTTGTATTGCTCCAAGGGCAGAGCTATAGTAGTAATGTGCACCAGGCATTGCCTTGCAGGTCACCTGAACACTGCTCCTCTGTTTACCTTTAAGTCCCATGCCCCTGCCAGTGCTGCAGACGGTGCAGGATGCAACGTGAAAAGCGGGTTAGTCTAGTCCTGAGGACAGCCTTCGCGAACAGGCAGAACTCAGCGAGTAACTCCCGGGCCCCAGTGCGAAGGCAGGGGTGCGTGTGCATGCGTGTACATTTTGGGGTGTGAATGTGCAAGGGATGATAGGTGTAGTGAACAACTCAGGAAGAAGTCAGCACTGGGAGAAAGGAAGAGATCAAGCACCTCACACGTTTCACAGCTATGAGAGAAGTTGTTTTAACTCTTCAGTTCACTTTTATTTAAGTTCTGTGATCAGTCTTTTCCACCTGCAAGAGCTCTTGTGTCAGTGCCACCAACATATGGAACAGAAATTATGACATTTCACCCCAGTAACAGGAAGAAAGGCTTCATGTCTCACACCAGTAAGACACAGAAATAAACCACCAGTTCCTCCCATATACTGCTAGCCCACTGGATGATCACACTCCACCAGTTTCCTGTTCAACTTGTTCAGCAATCTACGCCCAACAATGTTACTGGATGGCTCTGTTCCTGGAGAAGGGATCTTTTAAGCACCATGGCAGGAGAACACCTCTCATTAGCATTGCTGCAGCAGGATTTCTGCACCTGCGAGGTCACCGCAGACATGGGTAGCCTTATCACGGAGCAAAGCCAGTGTTAAGCCCGCGGCAACAGGTGCAGCAAAGTTTGGAAATAGCCATTAGGCGAACTTTGTGCAACTGTATGGAAAGGGAAGGGGGAATACGAGCCCTGAATCAGAACCACTTCTAAACACAGCTTTGTAAAACTCAAACAATGAACTTGAATCTCACTCTCTCTTTCTTCAGGGGGTTTCCCCCTTTTCCTAGGGTACAAAGGAATTTGGTGGTGTGTGGAGACTCTCTTTTGCCATTTGTTTGAGACCAACCCAGTTCTTAAGGAGAAGAAAGAACGTTAAAAGGCAAAGAGAACCAAGACATTCCTAAGCTTAATATATGTGCTGGCGTAAGTCAAACTACTGCTTTGAATTTAGGCTTTTCTTGCTTTTACCCTTTCTAAGGAGGATTGAAATCCTTTTGCTTTGCTGAAAAGCACAGTAAAACCCTTTGTGGCAGTCTTCTGTGGGCAGCTCAAATTCAAAGCTGCACAAGGCAACTAGAGTTTCTCTGTAATGCTGCAGTCTGTATCTCTGCCTTCCCCTTCCTCATCAAAGCATCGTTCCTCCAGCCACGGGCAGCAGAGAAAACTACCTGCAACATGTCCCCTGCCTACTCTGGCAAACAACCATTTTGTCTAGCTTGTTTCCTTATGTGTCTGAAGACCTGACCATATTCCACTTCTCATTTAAATTCTTAGATCTGTCTGAAACTGCATCAGGTGAAGACTCCTAATCAAATCTACTTTAATTGCTGCTGTGCAGGCAGCATCCTGCTATTACAGGCATGCAAATAGGGAAGCATGTAATGGACTTTTTCTTGCTTTTTCTCCACGGTCAGTGGTGCTGGGTTGATTCCAGGATGTCAGAGACCCCTGGGTTTTCCAGCACCTCATCACTTTTCCAAACAGAGTGACCAAAGGCAGATTTGGCAGACTCCAAAGCGTGGTTCCCTTGCTGAGGCGAATATGTTGGCTGTGGCTTCAGTTCAGAGCACACCCAATTTCCAGCTCTGTGGTAACCAGAAAGTACCCCAAGGTATGTTGAGAAGAAAATGAGAGAGAGAAATACATTATCTGAACCAGGACATGTAGCACTCGAGTCCGTTGGTGTAAGTAAATGACTGGCTGAATTCTCTGGAGGCTGGCAGAGGAAATGTGAATCCAAATGACTCCAAAAAGGGTTCCATCAGTCAAGACCAAAAGGATGGTATTGGAAAAGTTGTATTTAACACTCTAAGGCTATGTCTGTATAGTGCCCTGATCCTCCGGGAATGAGAGCACTCCATGCACTAGCACTTATGAAAGCTGCTATGCCTGTTAGAGGTACTGGCCATTTCAGCTTGGCCAAGAAATGCATCAGTGCCCTTTCATCCACACCTCACCCAGCCAAGCAGAGCCAGGTCACCTAGCAGATACAATAACCTGTCAATCTAGTGGGAAACCACCTCCCCACGTTGTGCAGTGATTTCCCACCACAGAGACGAAATCTTGTCCTTGTGACCAGCTACCATGCTGTCTCCACAAAGCACAGTGGCAACATGCACCAGGGAGGCAGGGGAAGAGGGGTGGGAAGAGTCGGTTCTCCAAGGGTATGTTGTATGCTGTGCAAGGGCCCAGCGGGATCCATGCGTGTGGCATCATCCTCACACAGTGCGGACTGTACTAACTGAAGTATAAGCTTCTCTCTTATATACAGATCTATTTATTAGCCTGCAGGGAATCCACGAGGTAGTGTGAACACAGATGTGCTTCTCTGTGGAGGAAGAGGGACAAGCAGGGTGAGTCTTGAGGCTATGCTAGGTGATGGGAACACAGAAAGTGCATAGAACAACTACAGCTGTTTAGATTCAGATATACAAAAATAAAATGGTGTCTCAGTCCGTGTGGCATGGCAGGAGCTGGGCTGGTAGCATCCAACACGGTATTCATATCTCCTCTTATGGGGAGGCTTTCATTTTGATGGTAGTTTCACTTCTTTGTACAAGTAGCACTGAAACGTCGTTTGGTGCCTGGGCAGCAGGATAATGGTGTGGTCCCCATCTCTCCCTCCCACATGCACTTTGCTCAAACATCCTCATGGTTTCCAGAGTGATGTTAAGTGTGCAATGTCTGCAGAATGCCAAATACCCAACCCGAGACAAAGGAAAGTAAATGCCCATTCGCCAAGAAGGCATATCCCCTTGTTCAGAACTGTCCCAGCCGTCATCTCTTCTATGCCATACCTGGGTGAAACAGATGAAAGTTATCCTTGAAACCAAGCTCTTATACAGGATGTTCATTCCTTTTTCTCCTCTTCCTCTTCTTTGCTTTTATATACATTTAAGTGTATATCTATATTTATTTTTCCTCTAATACAAGTGAACACAAATGTGATGTGGAGATAAATTCCCTTCTCTAAAACACTTTGTGGTCACAGGAATGTATGCATTTGGATTTACACACCCACACACATTCCAATATAAAAAAATTTGTAGTCCCAAAACTAAGATGCTTTTAAAAAAGTTAAAAGGCCAGATTCCTCTATTGGCTTTTATCCTTCATTAAGAGCAAGAAGATTACCTGAAATCGTGATTTATTCTTTATATTCTGCCTGAGTTCATTTTAAAATTCCAATCAACAGATGCAAGGAAGAGAGGGGGGAAAGCTAGTGGGGGGTCACGTTACGCTTTGAAAAGGAAAATTAGAGAGAATGTTTTCCTTTCTAATTTTTTTTCCCCTTTGGGTTTCAGGTTATAAGACAGTTATTTAAAGGATGCTTTCTCCAAATGTGGTAGCTTCAAAATATGTCTCCATGCCGTCTGGATTTAAGAGAGTCAATCCAAGAGATTGGGAGTGGGAGCAGGAGGGAAAAAGGACAGAAACAAAACCCCTAAACCAAGTCATTTTCTCTGTTCTTGGGTTGGTTTTGAGCATCTTTCATTATAAGCATCTTATTATCTTGTTCAGCAATCTTGGCTGTTTAGCTCTTCACAACAGGGATTTCCTATCCCCACTGCCAAGGGGGAAACAAATTTCTCCAAAGGAGGGGAAAAAACCTGCTACAGCCTCAGATTTGAGCACTGGCTGCGCTGTAAAACTTCACACAAGCTGGAACAAGGGCTGTGAAGAATCCACACCCGGCTACTCTGGTGCAAACAGTGTAGAGATTGACACAAGGGAACCTACGGACTTTTAATCAGGTTGGGCACATCCCATCCAACACAGGGCAGCTGTCATCCACATACACATGCACACACATAGCCAGCTTGATACAGGAGGGCCAGGGTGAGAAAAGAAAGATGCAAGTACTGAATGAGACGTGGGCAAAGGCAGAGTGTTCCCTTGAGCATTAGCAAGCCAGGCAGATACTTAACCTAATCATGTCAATTACAGTTGCACCAAAATTTAAAAATTGATAAATAAAATAAGCAATGGCAAAGGGGGGGATCTAAAAGGCCTTGGTTGTTGAGCGACAGGGTCAGGAGAAGTGAAAAACATTAGCTTTTTCATTTGCTGTGTTGACACTTTAAACATACTGTTCCTTAGGACAGATGTAAGGAGCCCGGGAACCGGGAGGTGGGCAGCAGAAGGAGATGTCAGAACGATGAGGATAAAGATCTTGCGGGAGATCTGACAAGGGGGTATAGACATGAGGGATCTTCTCCAGATATCGATCTTCATGAGAGTAACAGCGGGTCAGGTAATCACTCGCATTCGATATCTCTGAGTGACACTTTCCAAAGTTCTGTAAGTAGAGACAAAAGTCAATGGGTGAAAACTCTGGGATCATTGGCCATAAAACATACAACTCTTCAGTTCCTTGCTGAGACACACATATAACAAGTAGGATGGAAAATTAAATAGTTCTGCTTACTGCTTCAGAAAAATAGAAAGCCAGGTGATAAATCCTCACATTTAAAACTTTTTGTCTCACTTCACGAAATATCCATATTGCTGATGAATATGTATAGATTTTGCATGGTTTGCCCCTTCTCTGTAAATGCTCTGCCTCTCTGGATAAAATAAGCAGTCAGCCAAGAAAGGACAGTTTATTTTCAGTCTTCCTAACTCTTCCACACCTGAGTTTTGCAAAAGCAGTGCTTGTATGCATCATTATTCTAATCCAGGCGCGTGCGCTTTTATTTAAAGGGCACATGTATCTGACCAGGGACTCTGGAAGCAAAGTAAGTTATTGTGTCTAATGTTTACCTAGTAGATAGGAGTGCATGCGCTAAGCTTTACCTGTGTGAACAGTTCCACTGAAAGCCTCGGGGCCAGTTTTGTAAGTCAAATCAACTACAGAGAATATAAAGCACTCGCAAGATCGAGACTGCTGTGTGGTCCCACGATCTTCCCTCTGATGGAGTGTATTATGGATGCTTTGCAAAATCTGATTCTTCCTCTTTAAGTGCCAAATGAAATGAAAACCCCTCGGAGTCCAAAGTGCTTTGATTTCTATTGAGATAATTTTGCAGAGGTGTGGCAAGCAGTAATGAAGAAACACTGCTTGTTCGAGTGCAAAAATTGCAAAGAACCTTTTTCTCCCAGAAGTTCCATGCAAACAGCAGCAACAGGAGGAGAGAGACCCCCCTGCCTCTCCTGGTGTGCCTGCGGGGGACGCCTGTGTAAGCTCAGAGGAGTGCAGAGCTTTCCCACAGCCCAGGAATCTGGCTCCCCAGAGGGTGGCAGCAGATGGGAAGGATTCCTGCCTGCTCACAGACCCTTTCCTCCGGTTTGAAGCTCTGCAAGATGACCCAAGCAGGAGGGACATCTAGCGAGGACAGTGCTTTTGGTCTTTAAAATCAACCCACATTCATGGGCTCTCACCAAGGGCTAATCTCTTCTCTAAGAGAGAGCAAATGCACTGGCAATCACCTTTTATGCCTGTGGTTTGAACTGGGGCTGTTAGAAGCAAGTAACTTGCCCTCAAGTCCTTCCTTGTTCTCTTTCAAAACACCAGAAACAGTCTGTTTAGTGGAAAGGACAAGGACTTGACCCTCAGGAGAAAATGCCTGAGGGAACAGAACAATCTACTCTGCTTGTCTGCTGCCAGTTCCTGGATAAATATTTCACCAGGATGCTTAAAAAAATCATATAGAAAACAAAGTGTCAACAATAATTTATTAATGGTTCAGACTGCTAGAAGAGGCAACAAGCAAGTTGGAGGGCTGCACAGTCTTAAGGCAATTTCAGGAACAGCTTTGCTAAGAGCAATGAAGGCTGCCAGAGGATGGAAAGTTTGTCTGAACACCAGGAAAGCAGCAGCAATCTAAGGTCAATCTGATTTTCATTTCCCTTTCCTCGGCAAAACTGTATATCCCACTGCTTAAGCTTTTAAAAGTCAGTGATCTTGACCTGGCCAGACAGCAAAGAATAGTAGCCTCTAGGCCCCTTCTACTTAGAATTGCTGCATTGGTATCTGAAATTCGGGTGGGCCATTCCCACAGCTACCTCATGAGGTTTTTGTCCACTTCTGGCTTTTAATTGCAAAATGAAGAGGTGGAGAGGTGCTGTGCAGCATTATAGCTGTTTAACTGGAGGAACCCACGCCAGGGGACATGAGGAAGCTTCACTAACTCTACCTTAACCCCTACAATCTCTACCTGGCTGCTTTAGGCAGCCCTGACTTACAGCTCTCCCATTCCCAGGTGCGAGCTATATTTACACAGAAAGTTTAGGCCTCTACAGAATTCAAGGCTCAGTTTTACACTGTACCACACACAACCCTCTGGCTGGAAAACTGGGCAGGCTGTGGCAACACATACTTCAAGCCTGGAGACAGTTATCTTCATACAAATTCTATAGCATAAACAGGGATCCATACCATAAGGGAAGCAGGGAACAAAGAACAGCTGATTGCTATTCTTCTGATGGCCCCAGCTGATAAAAAGGGATAAAGAAGGGCTAGCAGCTAGGGAGAGTGTTAGTCAGCACAGCATGTGTGAGGGTCCTCTCCCTGTATAACCTACTCTCAGGAAATCTCAAATGCAACAGAACTCCTTTCCATACCTGCAAGGGGAAGAAAAGCATTAGCCATGCTCTCCTCCTGTTTTAGAGAGGTAAGTCATTAACTGATAGCTCAACTTTCTGGATAAAGCTGACCTGAAAGGGAAGTTGTTTCAATGGTTGAAATTCAGTAAGACATAGCAGGCAAGAAGGTCTCTTAGCAAGGCTAGCAATCTATTATCAATTACATGGGAGGGTAGGTTTATATGCTTTTTGAGCATGCAACAGAAAAGCATGGGACTTCACACTAATCTGTGCACTCAAAAGGTCTAATAGACAGAAAGGTCTAATAGGAAAGAGATTCTTAGTTAACATAAGTACACATCTTGTGTAAATTGAGCTGGTTGTTAGCATCTAACACTGAAAGAAGCAGAAGGGGTCATGAGATACTATTTTTTGGGCTGCCTATTGACAATATACTGGGTCAGCAAAGCCTATTTCTTTCTGTTTATCTATGAGTTAGCGTGGGCATGAAACAAGCATCCATGAAGTAGGGCTAGAGAAAACAAGTGCAATTTTGTCAGCACTTCTATTTGGCCAGATGAGTCTGAACAAGCTCTTTTCTTTCTGGCCAGTGTTTTGTGCTCACTCTTCACAGGTGGGAGTGGGGCCAGAGCAGGGCAGCTGGAGAATGCCAGCGTCGGGCTCAAAGGAAGAGACTTCCCTGTCTCTTTTCACCTTTCTTCAGCATGTGAAGCCAGAAGTCGCATTGCTTCTGCTTTGTTCCCTGATCTCATTTCTAAGTAGCGAAAGGGAAGAGAACAAAATCAGCCTGATGTTTTTTAACATATTTAGCAGCCGGTGCCCTCTGACTTCCTTCCCCAGTCCCACTGTGACTTTTCCCAAATCTAATTTATCTTTAACAAAGTTTGAAATTAAATTAGGGATAATGAACTAATTAGATTGAACTGGCACACCATTCTGCCACTTTCCCCCACCTGACTTCTCCCACTTGCTTTTGTTTCCAGCATGACTCCGTACAATTCTTCATTAGCTGGGTTACATCCTCCCCTCTCAGTTTTATTTTCAAGAGCTTGATTAAAGGGGATGTCAGCAATCTATCCATTTCAGACAGCCTGGCAGATTACCTTTAAACAGTCTTTATTTGATTGAATTAGAGAGCTTTCATTTCTGCCATGACTTACTCTCAACCCTTCTCCATCCCCTATACACCTGTCTCCAGCTTTTCTTCTATTTGCAGATCATCTCTTTGGTAAAACTAGGTGTGCTGCAGACAGCTTTCCCTCCGACCTGACTACATCCTATACTTTTAATCATCCCTAAATAATGAGGTCTTACTGGTCTAAAAGTGAAGAAAAACTTCTCAGGGTCCTGAGGATTCCTCTGCTATATTTTTCTCTGGAAAATCTGACAACTCTATTACATGTGAGAGTTGGACAGATACCGCCACAGAGGACTGTGGTTTCTGCTATTGCTCAAAAGCCCAAGAGCCAGTTAATAATCTCTCATGCAGTTTAAACTTGTCTTTAGTCTTGCAGCATGGCTCACAAACAGAAGTAGGCTGGTTTTCTCTGCTTGGCCAAACTCAAGGCAAACACAGTGCACATTCATGCACCTATCGGATGTGTTAGCCTCTTCCCTGGCTGGGAAAAGTCCCTGCTGTTCAAAACTATTCGAACTTTGGGCTGCCACTACCCTGATCCTCTCCATCAGTTGGCTTTGAATTTTGGGATGCAGCACAGGCTGATGGATAGAGAGAAGCATTTTGTTGAGTGACAGCAACAGAGGACTGTTGTCACAGTGCAGACCAGTCAGTGGAGAGGATGTAGGTGTTGGAAGATAGAAAATATAATGGGAACCAAAAATAAGAACATTTCATCATGGTGTTGGGAGCCTCACATCCTCTCCTCCCTGTTTCTAAACTCCCTGTTCAGCATTTTTGACCTGCTTTTCAACTTCCAAGTACGGCCACAACTTTAGGTATGTCCTGGCATGCTCCTGCACTCTGTTTGACACCTTATCTATGAGGGAGCTCCGGGGATAATCAGTCCTGAGTAAAGAACAAACATTAATGTATCGGGGATGGGTGGGAACCAGTGGCCCTGAGCTTGCTCTTAGGAGTGGTGGACTTCTGTGAGGACAAAACTGAGGGCAAGTGGGACAGAGCAGCTCACCCCTGGGTTCAAGGTTGAGCATGAGGAAGGCTGAAATATAGGGTAAGGACCTATGATGAGGGATGCACCCACAGACACATGCAAGTATTATTTCTGCAGAAAACTTGCTCATAAGGCTGCATTCCTTCTTACAGCATGCTTTTAACTCACTCTCTCTCTGTCTATAGTACCTGTTCTGTGTTCCTATAGCATCTTAGACCATCATTAATCTTAAACATTTCCCTTCATGCTGTTTCTCTCCTAGGTCCTTCTCTCTACCCTTCTGGAGTCAGGACAGGGCTGTTATCCTCATTTACTGATGGGAAACTAATAAGGAGCCACCTTAGTTCTTTGCTTTATTTCTCCTAAAAATTGGAAATGGGGCTATTGACCTGGGGGGGTATTCAGGCAACCTTGGTGTTGATAGGGAGGAAATGTGGCGAATGGGAACTAAGTCAAGGCTGCTACATTTGATGGTTCTCCAATATCCCCAGCTCAGTCTGCACCAAATCTGTAACTGGTGCAGGTTTAATAGTGTTATAGGGACATTCAGAAGGCAGAGCTGGGAATCTGAACCCTGGTCACTAATTTGCTGGGATCTTGGTGCGAGTCTCATGGTTTTGAGCTATTCTTGCTGTAACAGGGACAAGAAATTCCCAAACAAAACTGAGAGCAGAAGTGTGGGGAGGTGAAGGGGGAGGAAACAATTAAAAAGCATTAAAAAAAAAAATCACCCTGATCTGTGGTGTGCCTTACCAGGGAGATTTTGTGGCAGTGAGATTACACCTTCAAAGCACCATATGACTGGCTTTATTTTTACTTCAGAGAAACTGGGAGGATTTCCAAATTTGGATTTGGAGGATTACTGTCCTTTTGCTGACGATAAAATCCCCCACCCCAGGGAGGACAAGGCGAGACCTCCCAAGATGGATTAGGGAGCGCTTGCCTTGTTTGTAACAGTGGGAGTGGTCCTCCAGTGCAACCCAAGAAACTGTTGGGAACTGGAGGTGAAGGCATAAGGGAAGGTGGCTGCTTTCAACTACATCTTCCCCTGGGCTGGCGTTTTCATCCTCTCTCTGTGTGCAAGAGGCTGGCAGTGCTGCTGCCTGTTGGTGACAGGCAGGCAGGTGCCTGGGAGCTGATCAGCACCTCTCTCCAGTGACAAACAGACCCCACAACCAAATGGAGAAAAGAAAAACCAAACTGATCCAAAACTTACTGTCCATTCTCGCTCATTACGTCTACGAAGACCTTGATCCTCATTCTGGGAGCAGGGGTGGGTGAGAGAGACACCGCAAAAGAGAGAGGTTACCGTTCTGGTCCAGGCCAGGCCTGCTGCAGACACTTACCTGGAAGGGTTTTGCTACAGCAAGGGAACTACAGGGCTGCTTCCAACACAGGAAAACCAGGGACCACAGGGATAAAGGCAAAAGGAACTAACCCATTGCACACCTTCCACCCCGGGTGTTTCTGCTCTACCTTAACCCACCTGTTAGCACAGATGTTCCTAGTCTGCAAGGAGGCACTACATCAACAGGACTGTCTGGTGGGACTTTTTAAAAACACCTTTTTTCCCCTGCTTATCCTCCTGCACGGAGCTATTCCCCTCCTTCCCAAGGATCCAATTCCCTTGCCCTCTGTTATCTTCTCCAAACCACCCCTCCCCATCGCCAAGCTACTGCTTCTCTGTGTGCCTCCTCTGTGGAGCAAGGCAGAAGCTGTGGTCACCACAACTCAGGGAATACACAGGAGCGAGGGAAAGTCATAGCCAAGGACAGGGCTGCCAATGGCAATTCCTTGGCCGACAATTCTTGGCATCACCCAGCAAATCTCCCATGGGGTGGGAAAGGAGAGTTGCCTCCCTTTCAGATAGGGACCTGGTGGCTTTAATACCTGAGAAAAGGGTATGATTATAGGGTAATGGAATGTAAGAGCCGAAGACACCTCTTTCCACTGCAAACACCATTCCATTTCAAAGGGTCACTGGTAGCTAGAGATGGTCCAGAACAACCACTTGTAGGTTTAAACACAAGCTGAGTCCTAATCAGTCCCTGCCACAGGACCTGAGCTTGAAGGAGCTTGGTGACACTTAAAGTGGTCAGAAAAACATGAACAGGGAAACAGTCAGGTCTGGTTTCTAATTTTGAGGAGGAGAGCACCAAAGAAAACAATCTTTCTCCCTTTCTCTCAAACATCCAAACATGCTGTCTGCGCCAACCTCATGCAACGCAAGCTCTTTTATTTTCGCATACGCAGTCCCTCTCTGACTGTCTCTTATTCACCGACTCTTTCAGATGCAGGAACGTTTACGTGTTCCCATATTCTCTCACATACTCTCCCACCTTGTTCTTTCACACATGCACATATGCTCCATCTTATCTATAGTTGCTTCCATACATACAAACTCTTCTTTTTTTCTTTATTTTTTTTTTTCTTTTAGTCAGTCCCATTTTCATTCCCTCCCCTTCTTGTACTGACTAGCTTGGAAAGGCCCTCTTAACATCTCCACGAGGCTTTTGGCTTCAGCTTCTGCACATCCTAGTATTGCTGCTTTGCTTCGTGCTGGTGAGCCTTACAAAAATTCACCAAACCAAATCCCACACCAAGAGCTGTACCCTTCAAACCCACCTCGTTTCTCCCTGTGTCTCCAGCCACACTGACTGCAGAGGGGGCAGACCCCTGTTCTGAAACAAAGCCATTAACCCTTTTCCCCTCCCACATGCTTCGCCTCACTGTAGAAAGCAAAGGAAAACACTGCAAAAAGCATGCGCAGAAGGCAAGACAAGGCAAAGGCGTTCCTGTCAGCACCCCCAGAAATAAGGGTAGCAAAGAGAGCAGCCATCGTGGGCAGCATGCAGGAGGTGGAGGGAGTGGGGAGGAGGACAGACTGGATGCATGGGGGCCACTCCACAGGAAGGGGAGGAGATGCGGAGGGGAGCACTGACTTTCAGAGGGGCGCAGTGAGGAAGGCAGAGTGCGATTGTGTACCTTGAGGCCAGAATCTGAGGGGAAAGGGCCTAGAGTGACATGCGCTAGCGTAAGTTGGGCTGGATGGTTGCATACTCGACTAGGTCTCCGCCAGCATGGATGGAGGTCCGAGGACTGGGTGACGAGGCCAGAGCGGAAGTGTCCAGCTCTGCATAGTGGACATCACAGTCCTTGTTGCCAGGGTTCTGGAGAGAAGAGAGCAGCAAGGCGGTAGGGACACAGGGGGGAGGAATTGGGGTTGAAGTGGAGAGGCGGGGGAGTGAGAACACAGGAACCGTGCAGAAGGTGGGGAGCGAGTGAATGAGACAGGAGAGGGAGTGTGTGGAAGGAGAAAGAAGAAAAGGGTGAGAGGGGGGAGGAAGAAAAAACAGTTAAAAAGAGGGAGGTAGGGAGGTAATGAACAATCAGTCAGGTAAAATCCCAAATCAAAGCAAAGGTCCTAATGGCACTGCTCCACAAATTCACCACTGAGCTGAGTCACTCAGCCCAGGTTGGCAGCACTCCCAGCAACTGCCCCGTCTGCCCCTTTTACTGGGGCTGCTCCCAGCAGCATCTCGCTGCTCTGATCTTCCCATCAACCCCTCTGGCATCAGCATTTTCCTTAGCTGGGGGTGGTTCAGTGAATTCAAACCTTATTGGATACCTGAGCTGTCAGTTTTGACCCAGGAATTTGGGGTTCATCGCAGCACGCTGGAGGCAAACGCAGGGTTTGGGGGCATGAGTGAAAACCATGGGGAAGGCTTGAATTTTGGGTGTCGGGAAGGAGATACCTGGAGGGAGTGGCTTTAAAGCCATAGCTCCAAGGGCAGGTTTGCAGCAGATGCCTTACCATGGGGAAATGACACTGCTTAGTCAATACTGTTGTTTTGCCCTAGCGTGGGGGCTGGAGAGTTCTTAAGTGCTACATTTTAACATGAGGCTTGACTGCACAGTATGCTACTGCAGATTAACTATGCAGCATGATTTTGTCATTGTAATAATGTCTAATAGATGCTAAAAGCATCCTTCTTTGGCATGAAAATATTTATGGGTATTCCCTTACTAAGCGGGCTTATCAGCAAGAACTGCATGAATGGAATATTATCCAATTTGTCTGATCATTCCTACCCAGACATCTCTCATGCTTTGCAAATAATATTGGTCAGAGAACCCTGGAAGGCAGGATGGCCTGGAGACCTCACTGCTCAGTGGGGAAAATGAGTCACCAGGAGGAGCCCTGGTGTCAGTAGCCGAGGTGTGAGGGGGTACCCTGGCTACTTGCCCTGTGGAGTTTCTTTAATACTCGCTTTTGGGCCTGGTTTCTGTGCCAGCATTAGCCAAGGATCTGCTAAGCCTCTCTGAGAGGAGAGAGTTGTCTCTTCCAAATGAAATAGCTTTCCAGTTTCTCTATCCCCTTTCCAAAATGGCTACATCACATGGCAATTATGCAAAAGGTGTTTAATTTGAAAATGTTTCTCTTCTCTTTTTTTGGAAGTGTCCTCTGCCATGTACCAGCTGTGGCAGAGCCATTTTCAGAAGTTTATAGCCCTGTAATGAGCTGGTTTAGTGCCTGTCGTTGGAAGGGGTTATTCAGTGAGTGATTATCTCTGACTGCTGCACTGTCCTGTGGCAGGGTTTGGCTCCCTGCTGGTGTTCCCCAGCCACCGGGATGAGGGGAAAGGGGCACACGGCTGCAGCAGCATTTCCAGTGTCCAGATCCCCTGTGGTGCCCAGTAAAGCTGGATGCTGGAGGACCAGGAGGTTTGAGGTCGCCCTCTTTCCTGCCCTTGGGGAGGTGAACAGATGGCAGTGGCAAGTTGCTGGTATGAAAGCTGTGTATCCTATGGCCTCTCTGCTTCGTGTCTGGACCCAGACTGAGTGTCTATGGACATTTAAGAAAATCAGTAATGCCAACTCCAGTCTCAAACCTAAACCTATGCCCTGCAGAACTCTTTCCCCCTGAACTTTGTATCTCAGTACCCCCTCTAGTCCCAGAGAAAGGCAGACGAAGTCTTTACCTCCTCATTCCTACCTCCTCGTTCCTATGCTGTCTACTTTGCCTCGCTCCTCTCCAAAATAGTGCTTCCTTCCCACTGGAGGTGTTTTCTCCATGGAGTTCCCTTGCTTTCTGCCACTCTTGGGCTTGCTCCTGCTCCCTGCTGCTTGTTTGGAGCAAAATTTATTACAATATCAATAATGTGACTTGTATACAAGGTCTAGCACTACCACATGCAAGCACTCTGTGTAAATCATCAGCATCAGCACCCTGGTAATTGCCCTGTAAACTGAAAGGAATTGTTTTGCTGTCTGCAGCCATGAAACTTTCCCTTCTACCTGTGCAAATGGGTATTGCCGATACATACACTCATCATACTTCTGCTCCTACATGCACTCGTACCTCCACCTCTCTCGCTCACGCTCCCTCTCGCACACAAACACACAGCATCTATGTGACACATAGGCACTGCCATGTGCACACAGAGCACACCTCTGCTTTTACCCACACATGTGTCACTCTGTGCACTGACACACGTGGGTACCGGCACTCTCAGGCATGCATAGTCTTTGTAGGTGTTATCTGAAACACACACTTACCTTTCCATCCCATTCACTCTGGCTTAGATATCCTCACATAAACCAAAGCTTTTACCCCACAAGAGCTCAGAGACAAATGCTGCAGGCAACCCCAGCACCCTCATGTCCACTTCTGTACCTTTAATTGTCCACTACACTGTCCTTGCATATTTCTGTGCTGTCAGCTTCATGTTATCTTTCCCACAGTTTGCAACACATAAACATACATATTCCTTTGTAGCCTCTGACACAGGGCCTGCCCCTGCTACTTTCTGCAGGTATCCTGTCCCTGCAGACATGCCCCAGCCTCTCCCCTTCACCTGGTCCCCTGCCAGCATGCATCTGCACATGTCCGCACACACATACCTGCACACCCTCTTTGCGGATTCCTCCTCCACCTGCCTGTTTTATTTTCTCCTGGCACCTCTCCATTTTCCCCTCCCTCACTCTTTGCCATCTCTAATCACTTTTTGACTCCCATTCTAGTGCTGTGAAATTGTCAACCCCAGGCAGTGGCTTTCATGCCGCCTTGTGATGAATCTAGTTTATCCCAAATTGCGAGGTTTTGCACAATTCATTTAAAGCTGAATGCACCCACCCCATTTTCCTGCAGAATCCCTTCCCTTCAACTCTCGTCTTCTTCACTACCCTCCCAAGTCAAATCTCCAGATGAAGTGCAAGCAGAACAAGAATATCCTGCCTTTCTCTTGTGCGTTCCCCTCTAAAGGATCCCAGAACCACATACAGAACAGAGCAGCTGCCTACATCTGCGTCTGAACACAGTGGGAGGGGGACTGTATCAAAGTGAGGTTGGCAGAGACCCAATGAAGCTGAAGGAATGTGCTTCCCTCCTCATCCTCCAACTGACCCATCTCTCAGGTGAAGGACTGTGCCAGGTCTAGCCTGCCTTCGTCAGTCCCTCCCTTAGCATGCTGTTGGAATGTGGTGACTGAGCCTGAGCTGAGTGTGCTGGTTTTGGTAACCACCACTATCCCTGCTGCTGTTCTCCAGAGGTTTCCGTGCAAGTGCTATCCCAGCCAGACACTCCTCAGCATCTCCTCTGCAGGGAAGTGCATGTCTGCGACATGAACAGGAGGCCTCTGCAATGCTTTAGGGGTGAAAAAAGTGATGCCTCCGAGTGGTCCTGCAGGGAGGAGGGCAAAAGCTGGCTCCCTTCAAAGCGTGGCTGGGCAACATGATGCACACCTGGCCCTGGCTGTGGCAGCACATACTGTCTGTGTTATCTGGGAAGAATCCAGCAAAACCAGCACTCCCTGGCAGCGAAGTGACACCCTCCTTCCCCTTACCAGTCACAAACTTGAATAGCCTGCTGCCTGCCCAAAGGATACAGTGATTTAGCAGGAAATGGGAGCAAGCCTCATCTCATTCCCGGGGCAAAAAGCCAAAGCATGGTGCATCTGCATGGTGGGGGAGCCTGATACCATTTACAGGGACTGCCAGCCAAGCTGACCAGAGGACAGGGCCAATTCACAGTTGTGCTAGACTTGTGCCGAGAGCGGGCACAGCTGTGGCAGCAGCGGTTGAGTCACCCAGATGCCACATCCCTGCTGCAAAGGGAGTTTCTTCATGGGTCAAATGAAATGAGGGCTCCACAGTCTGTCACCTCTTGGCTAAAACTATGGCTAAGGAGCAGCAAGTGCCAAGTGTGGGACATAGAAATGCATCTTCTCAGATCAGGATTGAGAGCAGCAAACTCGGTTCCCATGGTTACGGAGCAGCTACCCATCAGGCCCCATCTCGCATCACTAACTCTGCCACTTAATTAACTGACTACTCGTTATTTCCCGAAATGAGCTCCTCCATCCTCCTGCTTGCCTGAAATTCAGCTCTTAGATGCTCTCCACAGAGCAGCCCGTCTGGCTCTAGCATCCTGTGTTTCATTTAAAACTCAGCTACCACTCAGCAAGGATTAGAAAGAGCTGGAGACAAGCCCCAGGACTGAGGGAGGGCTCCAAAGGGAAGTTTTTCTTTAGGGACATCAACCACGTTCAGCTAGGATGAAGTAAATAGGATCACACCAACACAGCTCAGCACAGAACCGTGTCTTTTTATTTCCAGTGCCTTCGGCATCTGTCTTGCTGCAGACTTCTGCTAGCTAAAGGTTACTGGTCCCTGTCCTTCTATTATCTGCACAGGAATACACATTAAAGGGTCATTCCAGGATGAACTGGAGGGAGGGTTATAATTAGTTATGTTTGTAAAATATTACTCTAGTATGGGCTGATATTTATACTGCTTTCTCAAACAAATGGGTTCACATTGCTGAGATGTAGAAGCACCAGGCTTGGTGTGTAGTGCTCTGAACCACCCCTCGTGGGGGAAGAGTTTGAGAGACCTGCAGCATTTACATGGGGATCCCGTGTCTCCCATGGAGGATGGGGGGGGATCAGCCCCATGTGATGGGGTGAGGGAGGGAAAGGATATTGTCCAAGGCCTGGGAGGAGGAAGGTTTTCTGTTTTCTCGTTAAGGGAGGACTCTAATCCTACCTGTTCTGTTTCCTATGCCTTTGCCCTTTGAATCTAACATTTCCTCCTTCAGTCTCAGTCCTTGAAAACCAGCCTTTCCCGCATGGCTGCTAATATCTCTCCCTGACCCTTAATCTCTCTGCTGCTGGTGCCTCACATCAGCATCTCCCTATCTGAGGCTGAATAAATCCACACAAAAAAAAGGGGGTTTAAAGAACTTGTTGTCAATTGAGAGTCAAACGCTGGCATGCTCTGCCCTGCAGATAATTGCTTTGTGAAGCTCTCACTGTGGTGGATGCTGCTTTTTGAGAGCTGCTTCTTTTGGCTGCAAACAATTGAGCAAGGGGCTCAGTTGCAGGAGGTGAAGAGTGACTGGGGTGGGATAGGTGGTTCGTAGGCTTAGCTGTCATATGTAGGTAAAGATGAGACTACCACAGGTTGTGATAGTCCTCTGATGAAGATTTGGAATAAGCAGGGTGTTTTACTGAGGAATGACCCATAAAGGCACAGCTCTAGGACCTATGGAAACCAAGGGCAAAAGGGGCAAGTGCTGAATTAGGATCAGTGGTATTTGAAAGGTTGGCTGAGATCAGAGTGTGGAGGTTGCCTTCCTCCAGGAGAGGATACTCCTGGACTGCGAAGGCTGCTTGTTCACCCCTGTGGATGGTGGGGGTCTTTCATTTTTTAGGGTGAGAGATCCTGTGTGAAAGGCAGTGAGGCTGGGGGCGAGGATGAGGCCAGGCAGTACTATTAGCACCCGGATCTCCTTACCAGTTTGTCAGTGTAGGGAGAGGGCTCGGTGGCTGCCATGTCATAGTATGGAGTCTGCAAAGGGAGTTTCTGGATTTCCTCCTCGTGTTTCATGTTGTCTAAGTGAACAACCTGTTATAGAGGAGAGAGAGAGAAGAGGGATGAGAACAGCAAGTACTATCCTTCTGTCACAGCTTGGGGCACCATCTGCTTCAGGTGACACCACCACAAGGTATCACCATGAAGGGCAGTGCATCTTACCTGCTCCCTTGCTCCTACCGTATTATTTGCCTCCTGTTCTCTTTTCTTTCATTCTCACACCCCTCACTACCACTCATGACATTCAAAATGGTGGGGATGCTCAAAAGTCCTCACACCTCAGAGCCCGTCTGAACACCACCTCATTCAGAATTCAATCCCCACAAAAGAGAGTACCAGGATCCAAATTACAGCTTTCAGTTAGTGCCAATGTTTGGGAATTCTGAGCAGACAAGTCCTTTCTTGCTGCCCCTCAAACTTAGGCAATGGACTTCTTTGCTCTTGCAAACCTTCCAAAATTTAGGCACTGTGGACACTGCTTGGAGTCAGTTTTCCTTGCCAGAGGAAGGAACTTGCAGCTGGGCTGGGGAGGCATACCTGGATGTCTTCTGCAGTCAGGTGGCTTTTCATCTCCTGTTTCCTCTTTGGTGGAGGGGCAGGTTTGTGGGATGGAGGCAAGTCAATTCTGCAGACAAAGAAGAGGTTGCTGATTAGAGAGCAAGAGAAAGGGGTCTGCTTGCTTTGATGTGCCACAACAAGCCGGATCCTGCATGCACCAAAGATTTGATTATATTTGTCACCGAACTGCCAATATAATCATATCGATTATTCTCAGTAACCCCGCCCCCCCCCATGCCCTCTTTCTCACTGCAGTTAGAATTGTTACTAGAAATAACCTCCCTCCTAGCATCCTGTTCCTAATTCCAAGCAAATCCCCATGTTGGATTGCAGATCCCAAGGGTGCAGCTGGGATACCTGTCTCCTGGCTCTGTTTTGGAATGGCTCCAAATCATCCCATGGGAGGTGGCTCATTTTGTGGCTGTAGGGTACAAGAAAGTGTCTGGCAGTGATCACTGCAAATCAACAAGGTAATGTCAGACCCAATTCGGGAGCTTACCTGGAACAGTAGCCCCTGCCACAGGCTTCCCAGTAGGAGTTTGAATCTTCCTCATAGACATGCTATGCCACGCAGGGACATTTATCCCTGACCCCCAGTCAGGGGATCAGCTTTTGCCCCAGAGCATAAGGATTGGCAGCCATTATAATCCCAGCCTAGAGACGGTCTCTGCACATTCTGTTCATAAGCACAGATGTGTCTAATCCTTTTACAAAACTTATTAAAACTCTGACCCACTCATTAGCTGGCTCCCCCTCCCTTCTCTCTGTACAAACTTCACCAGATCTTCTGATAGAGATGGGTGACTTTCCTTGGCAAGCCAATGGATTCCAGCATGGGACCAGAGTGTACAGGTGAGGGGGGAGAGTAAAACGGGTCCCTGAGGCTCTGCAAAACATTGACTTTATGGCTCTAAAGAAAAGAAATGCTATTAACTTTCGGAGGCTTTGGAACAGGCTCCACAATAGAGGCAGCACCTCTGCAAACTAGGGCACCATTGTGTTTCTATTCTCAGCTGAAGTGGCTCTTCCCTGTGCCTGCGTGGAGGGCCATTGTGGGAAGTGGATTGTCTGAATGCATCTCTATCATAGGGCCGATGCTGTTGATGCAATTTCACCTTGTGGTGCTATTTTTTTGTTTGTCTGCCTTTCTGTCTCCCCTCCTGCTTTCCCTGGTTCTCTTCCCTCCCTCTCCTGCTATCCTCCAATGCCCTCTCTCAAATGGGATTAAATGGAGCACAAAATGTGGCCAAGATGTAACAACAATGAGGTGGGGGTTGTGGAAGATAAAAGCAACTTCTAGCCTTTGGGCTTTCCGTGCCTCCCCTATGAGGTGGGAAGGAAGGGAGGGGGTGCTCTTGTGAAAAGGCAGTGACAAGACGGAGCTTTTCAGGAAGAGGCCAGGGTAAATATTTCTGAAGAGGGCTCTGTTCAGGCTGCATAGGCTGAACTCCACACCACCAAAATCCCTGCCTGGGGTCTGTGCTGCACAGTGTAGGGCAGAGCAAAGCAAGTACCTGTCAAAGAGGAGCCCCTGGGGCATCCCCTCTCCCTACTCTCGTATCGTCAGAGTTCATGTCTTCAGGCTGGCACCATATATACAAAACTGGAATGCTGAGTGGATGTGAATCCTTTCTGGACTTTTTGGGATACATTCAGAGCTGCTCAGGGTCTATCCGAGACCCCTCTCTGATGACAGAATGTGATTCAGTCTAAAACAGGAGCCTGAAGCCATTTCTCTGAAAAAGGAGGAATAGGGTCCTCTCCTACCACTGGAGGTGAGAGTGGCACTGAGCAGCTGCACCGTGTCCAAGGAAAAGCAGCATCTGGGTGAACATCGTTGTGCTTCAGTTTCCACTTAATGTTTGCGATAAGAGTTCAGAAATAGGAGAGAGCAGGATGGAAAGCACTGGGGGGCCCCAAGGAAGGGAAGAGAGTCAGAGGAGTGAGCCAGACGGTGGCAGACAGGAAGAAATGGCAGGAAAACCAGTTTGCCACCAGGCTTTTCTTGTGTGCAGGTAGCAGAAGGGTCAGTGGTGCTGTCTGCCTGCTGCCCCATCCAATAGCACCTGTACCATTACTGTGCTGTACTTCTGCGAGCGTGGTGCTACTTACAGGTCATTGTCCGTTTCAGTGCGGTTCTTTTGTTGCCGCCTGTAGACAATAATTACGGTGACAGCCACGCCGATGATGAGAGCTGCTGCGATGACTCCTCCCACGATCCCAATAATGCCTCCTGGGGCACCCTGAGGTAGTGGCTTATCTGCAACACACAGGGAAGCACGGGAGAGAGGGTTAGAGCATCAGACAACACAACCAGTAAGGTGCAAAGACCAGTAGAACGAGGGGCTCTGGGAGCAAAGATGCCAACGCACTCTGAAACTGTCTCAGGTAGCTGTGTGCGGGCAGCTTCATGGGGGGAGACAGGTCATACTGAAATGTAGTAGTCAGAGCTGAAGAGGAACAGAAAGCTGTGGCTACAATCGCAGCCCACTGTGTCTCCAAGAGCTAACCGCTTAATTTCCCCTTAAATCAGGTGGTTATTCCTGGATCCGTTTTTCTGCCTTTGTTCTGTCCTCAAAGAAAGAAGCGTTTAGGGAATAAAGGTGCTTCTAAGCAGCCGTCCCATGTGGTGCAGAGGGACTCATGTGGACCTGCTACTTGATATTATTTAACTATCTTGAAAGCCTTCTGCAGGGCTTTGTCACAGTGTCTTCACTGAATTCCTGGCGCTGTTGAAATGAAGGAGAGCTTTGCTATTAATGTAGACCTTAGAAGAGCTAAGGACCAATGCTCAATTTATTGAGGTGGAGCAGAGGTATGTGCACCCCTAACTCTTACAAAGAAGATGTCCTGAGTGTAGGATTTAGGGGTGAGGGGGAGATATATCATATCTTGCACTTCATCTCCTGTTCGTCCTATGGCTGGAGAGCTCTGTGACTTGGGCCAGCTCCTCGGTGACTAATGTGGACCTCATTCAAAGGAAACCTATCCCATGGGCCTGATGGGAAAGTGCTTTGAAACGTACGATAAAAGGATTTAATTTGCTCTACCTTCCAACCTAATTAAACTTGAAAACTAGCTAATTGGTACTTTGTACTTACAGCTCTGGCAGTGATGAAAGGAGGAGATAATTGGAATGGAGGAAGAAGGAGGAGGAGGAGAAGGAAAAGAAATTCAGGGGAGGGGAGTGAGACAGGGATGAGGGAACAAGGTGCTTTGTAGAACTTGTCTGTCACACTTAATTTTTGTATTAATGCACTGGCTACTGGCTGCTCTTAGAGACTAGATACTGGACTATATGGACCTTATTCTGCAACAATTATGGCTTTGGGTATCATAGTGGTAGCCAGTATCTCCACTAAACTACCCATCCCCAAGGCCTCAAAATTATACCCACTTTACATGTGTGCATGGCTATAAAATGTATATGCACGCATTCCCAAACCACATAGGACAACTTATACAGGACTCTTCAGGGTGAAAATCTGCCACGTACTCCCACCTCACATCCATGGATTCAGCACTTGCTTAGCTCAAAGGCTGGGCTCCCTGAAATCCCATGTCCCAGGTGCAATTGCAGAACTGACTGCGCTGAATCGTTGCCAACAGCCTATTCCCAGACCTCACCTCACAGCCAGCCTTCTTCACCTTTCAGATTTGCTGCTGTCATCCAGAAGTGAACTGAGGTGTATAAACATTTCCCAGGGAAGTCCCCTCTCTGGTCAATACCAAGAAATTGCACAGCAGAGAAACTGGCTTATTTACTGTATCAGTACAAAACACTTGAACTCCCAGCACCATGCTGAGGCATTGCTACCAATGAAGAATTTGCCCTGGGAATTGTCTTGACACTGATCCCCCATCCCTTTCCATGCAAACCTGGTTTTCTCTTGCCTCGCAAGGACACCCCGGAGCCTCCACTGGTCAGCATCCCACACCCCACCTTCCCCTGTTCCTTAATTAAGAACTCAGAGCTGTGTGTCTTCGAGTGGCAGGATGCTGTAGTCACCAGAACATGAGACCTCGCTCCCCACTGTCCTCGGCAGCGGCAGTCACTTTTATTTCTCTTCCCTTCTCCATAAGCCACATTATTTTGTAAATAATATTTCTGCCCTGAGACAGCTCACTTACAGCCATGCTCAGGCAGACAGCTGACATGTTGCAATCCAAAGCCCCTGACAGCATGCGAGATTGTGGCAGGGACGGCGACTGTAAAGAATCTTCCAGTCACTTTGGCTGGGGCATTTCCATGATGAATTGGCCCCTAATGGCTCTCTGGATGGCAGGTAGCGAGCAGAGAACATCAGCCTCCTACTACCGCTGTAAATCAGTAGGTGTGTATATGTGGGGGGGGAAGGAGGTGGGAGGAGAAAGAGGGGAAATAAATAAATAAAGCTAAAATTAATCTCCAGGAACTTGAACAGGGCTGTGTAATAGCGGAAAGGGGCCAGGAAAATTTAAAGTGGGGATAATGCAGCCATCAGTTTGCAGAAGAGAGAGGGGTAAATACAGGGCACTGGGTAAAGACAGTAAGTGGATGAGCAGAGGGAAAGAACGGAGGAGCACCAGGAGAAATGCAGATGTTTTGGGGTGTCTATCAGAGTACTTCCTTCTTGGCAAGCTCTCAAGACTATGGTATGAACTATGGGTGTTGGTACCCATCCCAGCTGCCTAAGACAGGGCTCTGTGGCAATGCAGTGCTTCCACAGAACGGCAAGTACCAAACAATGATAAAATCCTATGACAACAAGCCCTGCCCCTACATGTGCAGGTCTCTTTCTTGAGGATAGGCTGAGCCATCCTGCAAAAGTGTTGGTCACATCTTTGCAGGAGTCCAGCTAGGAAGCTGTGAAAGGCAACAGCGATAATTGTTGACCGTAAGAGGAAACACCAGGAGACAAGGAAGGTAAATGAGAGATTGAAGTCCTGAGAGAGCAAGAAAGTACAGACGAGAGGAGAAGAAACAGGGAGAGGTAGAGAGAGAGACCTTCCCTTCTGCTGGATCTTCCCTCTTTCTTTTTCCTACACCACCCCACCCCCCTTTTTAAAACCTTCTTTCATCTGCATCCCCAGGTGTTTATTTCCTCAATCTCCCCTTCCTGGGAAAAAGCTGTGGCTAGTACTGTTTGGAGGGCTCACCTGCAAACCAGCCTATTTCCTTCCCTCCTCTGTCTGCATTGCCTCTTTAACAGGTAAAGTCAGAGGCACCAACAAGGCTTTTCTGGAGGGCAGGGTGGCTGCAAGAAGGGGTGTTGTAAGTCAAACAGGAGGGCACCGGGAAAGCCTCAGGAGAAGATGATAAGAACTGGCAGATGAGGATTCAGTTACATGGACAGGGCTTTTGGGCAGCCCTGGGAAGATGTTTGCAAGGCTTGTGAATCAGGATCAGAATAAATTGGCAGGACAGCTCAGGGGCCTCCAGACTGGAGTGGAAAAAGGCTTTGCCAATTAAGAATGCAAAACCTCTTGCTCTGTGTCACGCTCGAATAATTTAAAACTCTCCAAAAAGTTTGTGTGAAGCAGTTGGCAGTGAGGCAGACACCAGAGAACCCAAAGGGGCTGAACGAATAGCTCAGCCTTATCTGGATGTCTAAGGGCTGCTGGGAACTCCTCGTTCCTGCTGGAAACGGAATTAATTCATGGTATTACAATTAAGGAGAAAAGAAGGACACCCCACCCCCAGTCTCTTTCAGAGCAGTTTTGTTCATTACTTTGTTCTCCCACCGCTCTTCTGGAGGTGGAAGCAGACACAGGAAAGGAAGAAAAGTGGTTATCTACCCATAAAGCATCCTTCCCAGTCACCTGATGGTGTGTGTCTCTGGGTTTCCAAAAGTAACCGGTAACAGATGAAGATCTTTCTACCAACTAGATCAATTAAAACATTTTGTGAGGTGCTGATACTATAATTCACCAGTCCCAATGCTCAGTTAAATCACATCCAGCAGTCCAATGCCGTCAGTTGTTCACATCTCCCAAATAAGTGAAGAATGTCCACTAGACAAGAATGTCCATCCCGGAGAGATGCATCAGACACAATCACAGTGCACAACTGACGCATAGTTCCATAGCACTAGCTATGAAAAAACCCTTGTCCAAACAGCGGTGGGGCTGATGACTCTGTCTGGACAGAGCCGTGGCTCAGATTTACTGCAAACAGCCATGGTAGCGTTTCGAAGCACAGAGGCAAACGGACGGAGCTGTCCACACGTGCCGTGCCCACGGGGTGAAATAGCGCAGCTGCAGAGCACAATAGTAAATAATAATAGAGGAACAACGAAGGCTTTTGAGAACCAGCTTGCAGGAGAGCAAGAGAGGTGTTCCCAAAGGGAACTTGAAGTGAGGCAAAGACGGATAAACTGGAAAGCTTCTAGAGAAGGGTATACCAGAGCAGAGGAAATTACTCACTTGCTCTTGGTATGGGGGGAGTGATGTGGAGGACTTTGCAAAAGGAAAGGGAAGACCACCAGCGTCTGTCACACTTTTGGAAGTAAGGTCTCTTTCCTTAAAGCTACTTGTGTGGCTGGGACATTTGCATCATGAAGCAGCCTGGCTGTTCTTGGTATCAAGACTTGAAAGTGGGATATTTTACATCCCCAACCAAGGGTATGTGCCTGTCTGGGATTAACTTTTTATGTAAAGCTGTGATCAGCCAGATAATTCTGCACTTGCTGCAGTGTATGTGCAGTGATATCCAGCCTGAGCAGGTGGGGAGGAACAGATCCATGGAATGGGGTCATGCACGAATTGCAGAGACAGCTGTGGGGTGGGATAAAGGTGCTGGCAGGCAGGAAGGGTGAGGGTGGGTGACAGGGCTGGGTCTCACACCGGTACTGCCTTCTTTCTATCCTGACTGTCTGCCATGTATTCAGCTGCCCCAGGGAGAGCCTGAGCCCCATCTAATTGCTGAGGCACTAACCTGCATCCCCCAGGTAAATCTGGAAGCTGAGTCAGTCTCTGGGCCTAGTTCACTGCAGCTCTGAGTGAAGCTAGTTTGCTCAGAGCGCTGCACACTGCTTCTGTCTTTGCCTCCTAACTTCAACTTGATCCCTCAGTGCTTCACAGAAAACCAGCATAAGAACATACAACATCTCTGATAAGCCATTGGCTCAAAGATCTGCCTGTATCTGTAACCAGTTGCAAAGTAGGGTTCCCTTTCCATTTATCACCTCCACACACAAAACAAATCCCCATCTATTTCATGGCTGGCTAGCCAAGGCACTCAGCAATGTGCTGCCTCGCTCACAGACACATTGCAAATCA